TTTGTCTTTAAAATTGCAGTTTAATGGTTGATATTTGTTCTTCAATTGAACAGGTTCTAGTACAACATCCTGCTAATTTGTATGCTGCTAATGGAGCTGGGGTAATTTTGGCTGAAAAAGGTCAATTTGATGTTTCAAAAGATATTTTTACACAGGTGAGCACTTCTATCATTACTTCATACTAGAACCTTTCAGAACCTGTATAATGTAAAATAAAGATTATTAGCACGTTTTGCTAACTTTTCAGTTGTTGTAGGTCCAAGAAGCTGCAAGTGGGAACATTTTTGTCCAGATGCCAGATGTGTGGATCAATTTGGCACATGTCTATTTTGCTCAAGGAAATTTTTCATTAGCAGTTAAAATGGTATTCTATATATATCTCTTGTTGACATCGAATTATAGGTGTCCTTATATTATGAATAAAAGGCTCCTGTCGTTACTGCATTCATGAACTAATGCCAAACGTTATCTTGCAGTATCAAAATTGCCTGCGGAAGTTTTATTACAATACAGATTATCAAATTCTTCTATATCTAGCTCGTACATATTATGAAGCTGAACAGTGGCAAGACTGCAAAAAGACCCTACTGAGAGCTATCCACTTGGCACCTTCAAATTACACTTTAAGATTTGATGCAGGTGTCGCAATGCAGAAGTTTTCAGCTTCAACACTACAAAAGACAAAAAGGACGGCAGAGGAGGTTGTTTCTTGAAACTTTTGGCTTAAATATTTTTTCTGTTGAATATCTGCAGAACATTTCTTCATCTCAATAAGAAGGTTTGAAGTCAATAGTAGGTTATCTTGGAAATATGCACATCATTCTCTCAGGTTCCTGCATCATTAGTTTGAATTACTATAAACGTGATGCAATAAGCAGATGTCCCAAGATGACGTAATGGAGTTAACCCATTCTTCTCATGATCTTTTGTCCTTTTCTTTTTCTTCCCCTTTTTTGGACGTGGATGGGACAGTCCAGAAACATTTTCTTCTATAAGACGTGAGGAAACATTTCATCAATGCTGAGAGAGGTTAGATCGGGGGATAAATTTCTTCCTGGCTTCCAAAGAAGGTTTATAAAAAGAAGAATAACCTAGTAACTGGAACTATGAAATAATATGTAAGAATGTGACTAACTAAAATCATATCTACATGATTAACTGGACCAATTTTTGTTTGCATTAACCCTTGATTCGTTTTCAATTATGCTGTGGTTTCTTTTTTGGGGCTTTTGGCAGTAATTGGTCATCAGCTGATCGACACAGCTGTTGTAAGAAAAACTTAAAAAGTCTTACTACCAGAATTGTGGATTCTGAGTAGATTTCCAATTAGATGCATCTTTCACTTCAAGTACGGGTTGGGTAATGATTTCATATCAACGGAAATGTTTACAGGGTTAGCAGTCAGATTATAGAAAAAGAGACTCAGTTCTCTCTCTTTCCAATTTCAGAAAAGAGAAACCTTTCTCATACTGGACTTGATCTGAATTTAACTCTGAAGCTTTGTGAATCTGAACAATCAATTCTTATAATGTACTTGTGGGGCTCCTAGTAATAAATTAGTAATTTATTACCTGTTAGTTTTTTCGAAATTGATGATGAAAACAAGCCATCCATTCCTATCCAGAAAGAAATCTACACTCAGAAGTCAGAAACATGAGTTCTGGTGTTATAAGAAATATAACGATTTGTTATACTTCAATCAAATATTATGACTTGTTATACTTCGATATAGACTATGTATAATGCAATAAGATAGGATTTAACCATGGCTTTCTGCTTAATCATTCTTGGACAAGTTTTGAGTTGCTAGATTCTTTATTTAGCTCCTAGATTTTAAGGTATAATTGAGTTGTATGACCATTGTTGTTAAGAATTTATTATAATAATGCTTTAAGTTACAACTTAAGTTACTCCATTATGCTGCCCCAATCTTTGATCCTATATATCCTTCCCTTTTGCTTGGCTGTTGCATTGATTTTTTTTCCGATGAAATTTATTAGGTGCGTTCAACGGTAGCAGAGCTGGAAAATGCTGTTCGTGTTTTTAGTCAGTTATCTGCTGCTTCCAACCTCCACTTTCACGGGTTTGATGAGAAGAAGATTGATACTCATGTGGGTTACTGCAAGCACTTACTGGAGGCTGCAGGAGTTCACCTCAAAGCAGCCGAACATGAAGAGCAGCAGATCCGTCAAAGACAAGAACTAGCACGTCAAGTTGCATTGGCCGAGGATGCTCGTCGTAAGGCAGACGAACAAAGGAAATTTCAAGTATGCTTTGTTTTATTTCACCAGTGTTTCTAATCCTATTTTTTTAAAAAAATATTTATGTATTATAAATGATGGATTATTGCCTGATATTATTTGTGAAAACAGTTGGAGAGGAGAAAGCTGGAAGATGAGGAAAAACGGATGATGCAACAGGAGCAGCATTTTAAACGTGTGAAGGTAATTCTTTTGAATTATATACTTATATTTTTGAGTATTTGAATTACCTTTTTACCGAATTTCATAATTGTAGAACATATTGAAGATTTTTCTACATATACACTATATTAAAAGAAGAAATAGTTAAAAAAGAAATGCATTTAGAGTCTTGGTTTTTAGCTTTTGGTTGGTGTAAATGCTTTTATTCTCCAATTACAAATTATGGTCTTAACGATCTTTTGACAAACTGGAAAACCTTTTTTATCAGATTTTGGGAACCTTTCTTACCAAAACAAGAAGTATTGAAGGAATAGTATTTTAGACTCTTCTCAACATTTATTAATTTATCGTGCCAAAGCAGGATATTATGGTTTTCGTACAGGGTTAGGTAGTTTAGAGGGATAGTTGAAGCACTTTAGCTTTTCTCTGGTTTAATATTTTAGAGACTCCCTTTCATTTATTCATCGCATAATTTGCATTAGAGCAAGGATAGTTATGAGCACCCTTTCTGTTAAAAGAAGTAAATGTGATATCCTGTTGCATGTGTTTGGATGACCATCTTTTACTCCAGTGCTTTTATTTCAAATGATGTTTGCCCTCTTGGGTGTTTAAGATGTTTATCTGGGGACTCCTAGCTTGAAAGCAGTAGCTCATTCAAACTTTCTTCAGGAGCAATGGAAGAGCACCACACCTGCTAAACGAAGAGAAAGGTCAGAGATGGATGATGAAGAAGCTGGTAATAGTGAGAAGAGGAGAAGGAAAGGAGGAAAGAGGAGAAAGAAAGACAGGAAGGGGAAGTCACACTATGAGACAGAAGAGGCCGAGAATGACATGATGGATGATCAGGAACTAGACAATGAAGATAATAACACAAGTTATAGGGAGTCCCAGAGCCAAATGAATGATCAGGACGATGATGTAGAAGGGAATGATCAGGATGCTCTTGCTGAAGCCGGTCTTGAAGATTCTGATGCTGAGGATGAAGCGGTAACATCTATTTACTACTTCTTGATAATAGCTTTGAGAAAGTATGGATAACTCCAATCTGAACTCAAGTAGATTCTCTCGATACTGCCTCTTGCTATTCCACGTAATTTTTGCTATAAATTATTGAATCTAAGTTAGAGCTAATGTTGGTGTTCTTTTAACGAGAAGTTTGTAAATGTCGATCTATATTTATTTGAAGTGGTTCTCCTTTTCGTATATGAGCGAGATAATGCTTTCATATACTTTTGGGTATTTGATGGATTTGTTTGCGTCATTCCTTTGCAGGGTGTACCTTCATCCAATGCAGGCCGACGAAGGGCTACATGGTCTGAATCTGAAGACGACGGGCCTATGCATACCCATAGAGAGTCCAGAATCCAAAGAGAAAACTCTGCAGGACTAGAGGATAGTGATGGAGAAATCAGATGAGATGGCGGTAATCCAAACAAGATGCCATCATCGACTCTGAGGATTCATAACAAAATGGATCCCACCCGCTGCCCTTTCGATTAAGGTCTAAGGCAACAGCTTCACAGATTACTTCAACTACAATGGCTGCTTCCGCTGCCCTGCGTCGCGAGGCATCATCAATGTCTTGACTAAATCTTTTGTGATATAACAACCAAAAGAGAAGTAAAATTTTAGAAGATCTCTCTCATCTGATAAGCTCTCAAAGTAGTGAAATTTGTACTGTATTCATATGGTTAGAGGTTCTATAAGAAATGCAATTTAGAAAGAGGGACCGATGAATTGTGGAACAATGAAATTGCATTTCATGTTTGTTATATAATTTATTTTTCTGGTGGTTATTTACTAGAAGAAAAGATGGGTTTTCTTTTTCTGCAACAGGTTATTAAAGATTTTCGAAGGTTGCCTCCTCACTTAGTCTTTATTTATTGCTTATAAATGCAACTGAAGCCAATTTTAGCCCTCTTGTTGGAGACTACAGGGACCGTTGTTTTATGTGCCGACAACACCAACTCTGCTGCTACTCTCTGAATTTTCATTATATCGATGTCAGGTTAGTGGAAGAATAGATAATAAGCATTGTTTACTTTTTCTTACAATGCTTGCAAAATATATATTTTGTTTAAAATATGGAAATGTTCCCATTTGTATGCTAACAAATGATGATGGGTAGTAAAATTATTAACGTTGAAAGTTGAAACTATGATAAATATTTAGTTGTTTATCGCTCAGTCAACATTTTTCTTTTGGCGATGGCTGTTAATTTTTTTACTTGTAAGAGAACAAATGAAGTTGGGGGATGAGAGAAATAAAGGTGGGGAAAGTGGTATTTATTATTATTTTTTTCACTATGTAATTTGGTAATTGCTGGGAAAAGTAGAACAAAATGGGGAAAGTTGAACTTGATATCATCTTCCCTTCAATTGACACATTTAATTTAGGCAGACTATTTACGATTTTGTCCTCGAGAAAGTTTTTTTTTTGGGTAAAAAAAGGTTGAAATAACATACTTCGAATGTGCATAAATGATCCATTCAATCCAAATAAATGGAACTAGATTTGATTTCCAAGCCTAAGCAGCATTGTATAGCACACTATGAAGTGATGTAGAAAGTCAACAAGTACACAAAAAAAGATGGAACATTCGTTTAATAAACAACCCCATGGCCCAATTTAACCACACCCTACATAAGAAAAAAGAATGGGTGAAAATTCAGCAGGAAGTACATCCTTGAGAACAAAAGAAATTTCAATAAGGAACAGCTGGGGTCACCCTTGGAGATCAAGCACCGGAACAAACCGACTATGGATAAAAGCAAAAAGATTTAAAGAAAAAAAAAAGTTAAGGAGTTTTGGCATTATGGGTTTTTGGATCTGAAAATGGGGAAGTCGTTGGAAGCGGTGGGAATGGAAATTGAGAGCCGAGTGGTGGAAACTGAGCCATTATTTGACGTTTTATCATCGAAATCAAGCCATGATCCTCTTTCTTTTGGAGGCCATTCATCGAAGAATCGATGAACTGTCTTCTGTGATTCGTCTCTCTTTTGTTGCTTCAAAGGGTCTGTGAGGCTCTCATGAATCTGATAGCAAGACTGATCATTCTGCAAAGAGGAGCAGTTGTTCTGTTTTGGGTATAGAGAAGAACAACTCATTGATAGTGGTGTAAGTTGCAGAGAATCAGCCATGGATGAAGCAGAGAAATCAGTTCTCGAAGTAGTTTCAGAAGGCTCTTGTGAGAAGAAAACATGCTCATCTACATCCTCTCTTAGCCCATAAGTGTACCTACTTCTTCTTGTCAATAACAGACGATGGACAAAAATCAGGATATCAATGTGAAATATTGGAACTTCAAAGAGAAGAATAAACTACAAACCTGTAATCTGGGTTTCTATCCGAGTAAGAACCAGACTCCAGAAGCAGGAGGGTACTAGTGTCTTGGGTTGATATGGCATTTCCATTAGGAGTTAAAGATATTTGATGAGCGGGGAAGGGCCTATAGGAGAGCATGGATGAGTTGTTGGTTAGGGAAGAAAATGCTGGATTTGAGAGATGGTTTATGTCATTTGTTGCTGTTGTTTTCAAAACATCCACAGGCTTTCTTGAACGATTTTTCCCTCTGTGCATGTGCCTCTCACAGTATTTCGAATCTGGATATGCCTCTTTTGAGCATCTCCATTTCTTCCCATCAGTTCTCCTGCACCTGCCTGGTTCCGGGTCTATTTTCCTCCCCAAACTCATCTGTAAATAGTTCCATCCAACTGCATGAAACATAGAAATTTCAGAGAGAGAAAAAGAGAGAGAAATAGAGAGGTGGGTGTTGATTTACCATGCTGAGGGTGGTGGGGGAAGAGCTTAGAAGTGAAAGAAGAGTCCAAGGTACTTCTTTTAATACTGAAGAGGAGATCAGGAGGTATAGGGATGCCAGAAACCATGTATTTGAAGATGAGAGCTTGATGTTCAAGCTCCTGCCACTGGGCTGAGGTGAAGGGAAACATACTTCTGGCGCTCATACTTAAAATGGATAAACCAAGTGGATTTATCAGTTAAGAAAAACACCAAAGGAACCTCAAAGCGCAGCAACAGCAAGACAGAGCTCAAGGGAGATGATGAAACACCAGGCGGGGGAGTGGGAGGAACCTCTGTTTAGGTTATTACTAGAGCCCTCCGAGTATAGCGTAAGTCTGGTACTGTATATTTATTTCAGAGACCATTTGGGTTGCAGAATCTTCTGCAATGGATAAGCAAACTAATGGTTCTGATTATGGTGCCGCATGCCCACCCCTCTCTCTCTTCTCTCTCTCTTCTTGTCTGTTCAAGTGTTCATATTATGACTGCATCTCTCTGTAACTTCTGGTTGTGGAGGGAGACTGGCTTTTTTTTTTGCAGCTCTTGTCTCTGACACCTCTACAGAAACCCACAAACTAAAGCAGGGGGAAATAAATAACAATGTAAATACAGATTTAAGCGAATTTATTATAAAATGTGACACAAAAGAGTTGATGTCAGAAGGCAATGCCTGAGAAGAGGGAAAAAATAAAATTGTTTGTACGGTTTGAGCTTTTACTGTCTGCTTCCAACTCTTTTACTTTTCCTCAGGATTTTTGCAGACTCCTCCTTCCCAGCAACCCCCACTTACAATTTGACCTTTTTGCAATTTTGGAAATTTATAAAAATGAGTGATTCAGCAGCTCAGGTAGGGTCTTTTAAGTTCTGATAAAAACAGAAACACACCCTTCTCTTTTTATCCTTTTCCTTCTGAGTTTCAGACTGTTACTGAAATTGCTTTGTTTTATTTCCCAAGTGCTTGCTTTACTGTTCTGCGCTTCCACTTTACAGTTTACCACAGAAGTGTTACTTTTGGCTTGCTGCTCTCTGATCTCTTTAACAGGTGATCAGTTTATACATCTCTCTTTAATTTTTTATTAGTTGATTAGGGACTCTCTTCCTGTCTTCCTTCTTTTAGCACCTTTTACATTGCCAAACACTTTTGAGATATTTGGTTTACCATTTTAATAAGTTTACAGTTTGTGTAATTTTGAATTCTATAGAGGAATAGAGTATAGAAACTTATATACACGTGACTTGTATTTTGGGTCTAGATTTGTAAAAGTAAATGTCTAGCTTGGGAGGTGAGTTTAGGTAGTCCATAAGATTACTAGAGATTAGGGATAAACAGACAAACGTAAATAATAGATTCAGTTAACCCAACTTGTGAGACAAACACTCTGCAAAAATCTAAAAGTTAAAACCATCTTTTAAGTTGTTGGTCCATAGTAAATTTAATCATTTAATTGTAGTTTAAAGTGGGTAGGTTCAATTATTCATGAACTACAAACAACTTGGTTGAAGGCCGAATTCGAGTTCTCTTGATCTAGACCATATTGACTAACACTAAACCCGACCCAATAACTTTAATTTTTAAGGTGGGTTTAAGTTAAACCATGTGAGAACCATCATGGCTGATGAAGTGATCAATAAGGGCCAATATAAACATCAAAGGGTTTAGAGGGAATGAGTTCAGACTATGGGTGGCTACCTACTTGAGATATAATATCTTGTGAGTTTCTTTGTCACCCGAATGTAGTAGGTTCAGACGGTTGACTTGTGATTAGTTGAGGTACACTGTGCACGCAAGCTAGTCTGGACACACCGATATTTAAAAAAAAAATAATTAACCATGTGAGAGTGTTTAGTAGTGTGAGACGAGTGAGGTGAAATGGAAAGTGGATTTATATATATTGGGTTGGTTTGGTTTGAGGTTTGAAGTTTGAAGAAAGTTAATGTGTTTGGATGCTTGTGTTACAAGTTTGGCATTTGTTAGGGAGATGGTGGTCTCACACTGTTTCTGTGCTCAGTTGCTATCTGAATCTGAATGAATGGCAGATTCAACCACATCACATGCATAGCCTTTCAGGGTACAAAAACAGTGACCCCACCCCTTCACCCTCCACCCTCTGTTGCTTCTGAACTTTTTCCAGGTTTACTTTTCCTGTTAAAAACAATTTCCCTTTCTCTATTTCCCTTCCCTTCCCATGCCAACTCACCATCTCTCTTGTGGGGTTTTTGTTATTTTTCTTTTAACCACACTTTTCTTACTGTCCGCTATTAAATTTTTTGACAGGTGTTTGTCATCCTCATCATTGGGCTGGATGGGAATTTATCGCTACCCACTACTAAGTTTTTGACAGGTGCATTTGTCTTTTATAAAAGAAATATATTATCCCTCCTTCGGTGAAAAAGTTAGTGGTGGGTAGCAAAAAGTCATAATTGGGCTGGATAAGAATTTCTTACTGCCCGCTACTAAGTTTTTGATAGGTGCATTTATTTTTCGTAAAAGATAAATATTCTCTCATTCGGTAAAAAAGTGAGTGGTGCGTGGTAAAAAGGAAATTTATGTTGCCTAGTATGTAGGAGAGAATTGTTTGATTTTGTCTTACTTTCTAAACGAAGGTTAAAATGTACTTTTTATCTGCTTTAATTTAATCGCTATACTTCTCCGAAAGTTTATTCGTTGTTAATGAACAGTGTTAATGCAAGGTCGTCAGGTAGGCACGTCCCTCTTTGTGCATCTCGATCAATTGCTTTCTTTTCTTGCTTCCAACATACTCTACTTTCAAAGAGAAGAAATGGGGCACATCATAATATAGGCCTAATGCATTATGCATACTTCAACTTTAACTTCAACTTCCTTAGTGTAGTAGACTCCAACAAATTTCTCGGTTGGAATGGAAAGATGAGTGTTGTTCTTGCCTCCATAAAGTAGATTGGTCTCTTTGTAGCCTTTAGACATACCCCTTATGCCTGAATAAAAACTTTACCTTGTCCAAATTTCCAATGCTTAGCAATAAACACGACATTGATTTGATGATGATAATTTACATAGCATTAATGTGGTTGATGAGTTTTCAACGTCTATTAATGACATGGATCAAGTGATTAATAAAGAAGTATGAACAAGGAAATAACTTCAAAAGTGTAAGTGTTCAACGTGGGTTAATGACATGGACCAAGTGGTTATATTTTTTGGTCTATGAGATTTAGAGGTTTAGAGTTGATGTTTATTTGATTCTTGAAGTTTCAAAATTGACGCTTTTAGCTCATGAATTCGGGAAATGGTTCAAAATTGGTCTTTAAGCTCATTTGCTAATTAGTTGGCTAATTGAAAAATGATAGGGGAGTTTAGTTGCTGATTGTACTTGTTGATTTGATAAAATATATTTAATATTTCTTTTTGGTGAATTGGACTTATATCTCGATTAAGTAATTATATCTTATCACTTCTTTTTTCATAATTTAGTAGATAATAAATCTCTACTTCCTCTAAGTTCGAATCTTGATTTTTGTAATTTAATATTCTAGACAGAAGGCTAATTTATTTGAAAGTTGTGTTTATATCTAATTAAAAATTAAAACGCTATTTAAAAAACAAAGCTTTGAAGCTCAAACAATAGCTTAAGCATGCATCATTTATATTTGGAGCCAGGGCATGAATGAAATTAGAAGAAAGGTAGGAAGCGAGTTAAAAATCATACTAAGAGGTATTCGCAATGTTTTTATTAAAGTTCGTGACCTAAAAGAATTTACTTTAAAAATGTGGTATAATTCAATAATTGACACTTACTCCATCCTCCCCGCCTCAAATTTGTTGTATTAAAAAAATGTAATACAAAAATTAACGTCAAAGAAAGGAGTAGAATACTATTTAATGTTAAATTATACTCATGTTAGCACTAAACACATCACATTTCACCTTATAAAATTGGTTACTCAATTAGTCAACTTTTCTTTTCGATACTAAAATAAAAAATTTTAAGTTTATATATTTTAGATCGGTGATTCGACACATGTTATTTCAAAAGTAAGTAATAAATTAAGTTATATATTATAGATTCTTTAAGAAAATAAAAAAAAATGATATATATAATCACTTCACGATATATCATGAATTAATAATGATAGATGAAAAACTAATGAAATACACGTGAAATTAAAATACGTGTGGAAAGCCACCAGCCGTCCAATTTGAAATAAACATGTGATCATAATCATATTCATATTCAAATACTTTCAAACCCTAAGTTTGAACTGGACCCACAATCTACAAAATCAAGGAGCATCGGACGGCGATTACTCGTTCACGTAGTGCTTTATTGTAGATCCGGATGCAGCTGATCATTACCTCCGTCGCCGACCAGTCCCCTGAAGCATTTCATTTTCAATTAAAATTCCTTGATCAGATTCTCTCCACTCAAATTCGCCGGCTATTTAAAAACAAAAAAGCTCTCGAAAACTTCACCAAACTCCGATCAATCCTTCGAAATCAGAACTAATGGCTGAATCTCCGGCGGGAAATGGAAGCGCGACGCTGTTCTCTCCGTACAGGATGAGCAAGTTCAATCTCTCTCACAGGTAGGTTTAGTTTAGTACTCTTTTTTTTTTTTCTTTTTCTGATTGATCCTCTGTTTTCGATCTTCGAAATCGATTTCCGAGGGCTCGATTTTTTCTTAGGTTTGATTTGAATGGCTTTGAATCGATTACTGATGTGTGTTTTGGGGATCTGGCGAGGGATTTCGCAGGGTGGTGCTTGCGCCGATGACGAGGTGCAGAGCTTTGAACGGGATTCCGGGGCCGGCGCTGGCCGAGTATTACAGGCAGAGGTCGACCGACGGCGGATTTCTGATCAGCGAGGGCACTTCGATATCCGCCACGGCCGCCGGGTAATTTCGGGAATTTGATCATTCGTAGGGCTATTTTGGTAAATTATGGATGGGGAGCAATTATTATGTGACCGTGGCGTGCTTAGGTGGGGAATGATGGTTCGCCATGTTGGAGTTAGTGTTCTTTGGGTCCCACAACTTTGCTGCACACATCGATAGTTGAGATTTATAAGAAGGGTTAATTTGGTAAATTACACCATTGCATTTGACAGAACCTTAAGGAAATGCAAATATTCGAATGTTAAATCTGTGGTTTGCAAAAATAGCCTTTTTTTTTATTAATAACTAAATTTATGAGAATTGAACAATGATCATAATCGTTAAATCAAATTTACTTTAAATTACTATTTTTAAAATTTTAATTTTTAGTAAACTTATTATAAGGTGGCCGATAATTATTTTAACCTGATTCGATAACGATTTCGTTTTTTAAAAATTTTTCTTGGTTCCAAAAATAGATTTAAATTCTTAGTCAAATTCCAAAATAGAAAAAGTTTTTAAAAACTATTTAAAAAAAACTAGATAATAAAACAGAAAAAATACTGGAATGGGAGTAGTGTTCTTGTTTATGAGCTAAATTTTGAAAAATAGAATACCAAAAACAAAATATTTAGCCTTAAATATCGTCCTCATATTATCTCTAGTTTATCTTAATCTATTCTATTTTTAACTCTTTTTCCTCTCTAAAAATTGAAAAAGACTGTATATTCTCTTAAAATAATCGGAGAAACATCTTTTTCTCACGAAAAGAAAAACATTGCACATTGCTGTGCTATTTTCCATTGCTCATGATTTGATAGGAATTTTGTAGATTAATTTGAATTAAAAAGTTGTCAAGTGGGCTCCAGCATATTTGGTTGGGTGTATTTATTTTATTGATGTGTATGGTAATATCAGTCTTCTGCATTTATTAATGTGACAGTAATATTAGAGTCTCTTGCATTTATTGATGTGCGTAGTAATATAAACACAGTTTTTTTTTTATATATATAATATAAACAAACCAATAGAAATGGTCTAGTAGGGGCCCTTAGCATAAAAAACCAACTTTTTGTTCCTAGTTGAAAGAAATTTATATCTTGGCTATACTGCAATAATGGAATGACTTTTGGTACTGACAGTGTACTAAAGTTTTTTAAATTTTAAAATGTATTTTTGGCCATATAGCCAAACTGAAAAGTGCTTTGACAATTTAAATACACTTTTTATAATTTAAAAAGTGTTGGATTCACTTTGACATATTTTTCCATATATGTATCATATTTTTACTGGATACAAAATGTTGATTGGGTCCCATATTTGTATTAGATATAGTAGAAATACATCGTTGGGAGCTTTCAAATACATATTTATAGTTTTTATTTGTATTTGCATTTTTAATATTGGATCACAAACATGGAATGAGAATTTCAACGGTTGATTTGTTAGAGGAGGTAGAAATACCTTAATAATCACTCAACTAAATATAAGTTTGACATACATTTTCTTTTGTTTAACGTCACATTTAATCTTTGAATATAACTTGGGTTTCATCATCAAAAAGGAAGGGGAGAGAGAGTTAGAGTTTCTTTTGAAGTTATGGTAGCTACGCTCTTAAGCAACTGAGCTTTATTATTTCAGCTGTCACTATTGGATATTTAGAAACATTAAGTGGATCATTTCCAAACATATGAAATCTTTTATAAAAAGGCTCAATATATAAAGAGCGCTTTTTAAATATCGACTCATAGAAGCCCTCAAGGATCAGTTTGGTTGGCAAAGGCTTGAGGTCTCTTAGTCATACTGGCTTAGAGCTCTCAAGTTCGGACCTTCGGTAAACTTAATACCAAATACCTTGATGTTTTAAGGGTTTGGCCCTTGGGGCGGGCATATATATATATATATTTTTTTGTAGAATGGGTGGTGAACTTCAGCAACAGAGCTACCTTCCAACTTCAACTTTCATGGCATGGGGCTTGTTTAGGAATGATTTTGGTTTAATGATTTTTTGGCAATGATATAGAATACAAATATAAAAGCTCTTCGGTCAATCACCTGGAAGGTGATTTTTGGTCCATTGGTTTCTCAAGAATCACTTGAAAATTGATTCGGCGATTCTAAAATTACTTTTAAACCAAACGTTTATCATTCAAAACCACCCCTTATTATATGAAAATCACGTTTAGAAGCGTGAAACCACTCCCAAAGTATGCTGAAATGAACTGGAAACTTGGTAGGTTCCCACATGTTCCTGGAATTTACACTGAAGGACAGGTGGAAGCATGGAAGCCAGTGGTGGATGCTGTTCATGCCAAAGGCAGCATTATTTTCTGTCAACTCTGGCACGTCGGCCGTGCTTCACATCAAGGTATTTACTTTCCCACCAACCATCGAATTCCACAATCAATGTTAACATTAACGTTAATGTTATCTTCTCCCTCATTTTCTGACCATTCTGAATGAAAATAGTTTATCAACCTGGTGGGATGTCTCCCATCTCGTCTACAAGCAGGCCCATATCGAAGAGGTGGAGAATTCTGCTTCCAGATGGCTCCTATGGCATTTATCCAAACTCACGAGCTTTAGGAACTTATGAAATCGAGGCGGTGGTCGAGCATTATCGGCAGGCTGCATTGAATGCCATTCAAGCAGGTAATTAACTTCACAACCTCTGCATATATTTGTTAAGAATCATTTTGAATTTTCTGACTTATCAGCTCACTTAGAGGAAATCTTTGAACTCACATTCTGCAACATTATTTTTTTCTGTTCTATAGTGGTAGTTTGGACTCTAGGTTAGATTCAAGTTTTTGAGTTTTGTAACAGTGAAGTAGTTGATTTCAACGTAACTCAAATAGTAAGATACTATTATTTCTCTTTTATAGGTTCTGAGTCCCCTGCCCATTTTTGTAATGTACTACTAGAAGAAAAGGTTCAATTACAAGTTTGTCCATAAATTTAAGGATCTTGTCTATTCATTTTCTAAATTTTAATATTGTGTTTAATACGTCAAGTCATCTAACTTTCAATTTACCCAATCTCTCTAAATTTGGAAAAGTACCTCATGAGTCAGTATCTATCAGACACAAAATTGAAAGTTTAAGGACGTAGTCTACGTTAAAAGTTCAGGAGCCTATTAGACACCACCCTAAAAAATTAGGGGCTAAGCTTATCATTTAACACAAAAATTAACGATTTAACAATATACATTTTAAACAAATACAAGGAAGTAAAAACAGGAACGGTATACATTTAGATGGATCAACAGCTGTTGGATTTTGCATCGTTACGTTATTTATATTACAAATCTGCTTAGCAATCCATCAAAGAAAAAATGCCTTACAGTTAATAATGTGAGATAAATTTAACATTAGTTTCATGCCTGTTATGACGAATAGGCTTCGATGGGATTGAGATCCATTCAGCCCATGGCTACCTCCTTGACCAATTCTTGAAGGATGGTATAAATGATAGAACCGATCAGTTTGGAGGATCTCTCACAAACAGGTCTAGATTCCTATTGAAGGTAGTTCGAGCGGTGGTTTCTGCCATCGGAGTGTATAGAGTCGGTGTCAGAATTTCCCCAGCGATCGACCACCTCGACGCAATGGACTCCAATCCTCTCAAGCTAGGACTACACGTTGTAGATCAACTCAACAAACTACAACAAGAAGTTGGTGCAAAGCTCAGTTATCTCCACGTGACGCAACCGCGGTACACAGCCTACGGCCAAACCGAGTCTGGCAGGCCCGGGAGCGAAGATGAGGAAGCTGAGTTTATGAGGACACTGAGAAGAGCTTATCAAGGAACATTCATTTGCAGCGGCGGGTTCACCCGGGAACTGGGAATGCAGGCAGTCGAGAGCGGAGACGCCGACTTGGTGTCGTATGGCAGGCTTTTCATTGCCAACCCTGACTTAGCTTTGAGATTTAAGGTGAATGCACCATTGAATAAGTATGTTAGGAAGACTTTCTATACACAAGATCCTGTTGTTGGCTACACAGACTACCCATTTCTGAGCAGCTCAAGTGGTGGAGAAGGCCCTCTTTCTCGCCTTTAATTGGAAGTCTTTTGAGCAGAAGATTGCTCAAGTAAGTTCTTATTTTTGCTCATTTTTTAGTGAAGAAAGTATCTTCATGATCCTCAAAAGTGTTTAGAGAGAATTTGATGCTAAGTTGGGTACTGCATAATTGCGTATATAGTTATTTCAATAGTAATTGTAAGTGTTTAGAGAGAATTTGATGCCAAGGTGGGTAGTGCATAATTTTGTACACAGTTATTTCAATAGTATTTTGGCCTTGTTTGAGAACGATTTTGTTTTAAGTTTTCTATTTTAAAAAATTATACATATTTTCTCATTATTTTTTAAAATTTTCACCTTTCCTCACAATACATATGAATTTTTAGCCAAATTCAATTTTTTTTWAAAAAAAAAACTATTGATTTCCAAAATTTGGCGGCTTAGATTTTGAATTAATAAGATAAAGTATTACATAGGTGGGAGTGGTTACCAGCTTAATTTAAAAATAATGAAAATAAAAAATAAAATGGTTATAAATAAGGGCCTTTAACTAATTATGTGGATAGAATTGTACTATTTAGTCAAAAGAAAATGGATATATGGAAGTCTTGCCGGTTATGGATGTGGCTAGATATAGATTTCATTTCAGGTTGTAATACATGAAAATTTCTTCAAATTAAGATATTTATATGTTTATTTAAGATAATCATTGTTTAGAGTTTAAGATTAAAATACTATTTTGATTCCGATACTTTAAACTTTGAATCATTTTGATCTTATATTTTCACAATGTTTATTTTTGTTTATGTACTTTTAACTTCGGTTTATTTTAGTTCATGTAGTTTCAAAATGTTTATTTTGAATATTGTATTTCAAAATATAACAATTTTGGTCCCTTAATTTCGTTTTTTCTACGACATTACACTCAATATATTTATTGAAACGTGAGTTTTTTTGTTATGTGTAGAATTTGTTTTAAAATTTTGAAAATAAAGACGTAAATGGTCCTATTTTGAAAATATAGGGGCGAAAAGGGATATGTTACCAAAATGAACCAAAACTCAAGTAACTGGAGTATTCCATTCTAGTTAAATTATCAATATTCTATGCTTTTGAGGTTTCTCATCCTCATTGAATAGACTTTCTATGAAGCCTTCAAGAAAAATATATGGCTTCTTTGGTGTCCTCTTACCAGAGGTGATATGCCCCATAAATTTTCTGTTGTACTCCACTGTAATATTTTCGGTCTCGTGGCGTTATCATCCCCACAGTCACATCTTCCACCGTTACCTTATTGATCGCTATCCACCATCACATCAAACAAGTTGTAATAATTCAAATTTCCGCCAAAGTGAACATAGGTCAGCGGTAATTGACATCTTTCTCCAACCATGAAGTGGTGAGTTCGAATCTTCACCCCACATGTTGTACTAAAACAAAAATTCAAATTCCCATCACAAGCCACCGGCTTTGTACAGAGTTTTAATCTTGAATATACAGAGTAAGAAAAAAATAAAAAAATTTACTAGTATAGAGTTTTAATCTTGATTTATTTATAGAAAATTAAAATATGACAAGATTAATTTTATTTGGATATTGCAAGATCCGATCATTTGAGTATGATTTTTTTATACATAAAAATAAGATTTGAAATTTCATTATATTTCATGTGATCAATTCGTTTGAGACTCTTAATGATATGCTTAATTAATATGTAAATAATGATATGCTTAATTAATAGATCTTAACAAAGTTTTTAAAGGAAGATTTTAATTGAAATTTTTTAATAATAAAATTGAGAGTGGTAGAAGATTAATGACAAAATTTAAAATTGCTTTAAAGGATTAGAATTTATTTTTATATTTAGACTTGATTCATAGAGGTAGACATTATTTTAATAACCACGTATTATGTATCACATGCATATAAATTATGAAAATACGAAATTAAAATATGTTGGATAATTTTACTTGTTCATGTCAATTTAAGTATCACTTAACTAGTTAAGGTATTATACTTCGATGAAAAGATGGGAAGATTATATTTCCAAACTGAGAAAAAATGTTTTATTTATTTTTTATTTTTTATCCCCCGTCAAGCTCACCAAAAAGAGAAAAAAGAAAAGTCAAATAACCAATTACTACTAAAAGTTTGACTTTTGCAAACACCTGAGTTCTTATTTTAGATGACGTATATAAAGTATGAGTAAAAGTTTAATTTTTATTTTAAATATATAAATTTTTAAACATTTTTTATCGCTATAAAGCACGAAGCTTTATAAATTTTCTTTAACTTTGAATGGTATAAACTACCAAAAATAACCTAAACTTTTAAATGTTGCTCTTGCAACTTTATAAACTTTGTTTCACAATTACCATATATTCCGTCAACTTTTCTAAAAGATAAAAAATAGAACCGTAGTTCAAGTGGTTAAGGTATTTATTTCTGATCAAGAAGTTTGAGTTCGAATCCCACCCTCATTGTATCAAAAAATAAATGTTTTTTTTAAACTATATTGATTAAAATTACATAATTTTTTAGGAATCGTTGGGGCTCTTCTTTACCAAATTTTAGTTGAAGATATTTAATAAAATTAAGAAAAATAACATATATTGTACAATATTATATACATTTGCCAAATAAACATGTTAAAAAGATAATCAATAAAATCACATGTTACAAATAGTTCAAACAACCATGATATGAAATTAGAAATAGGGATAAAAGAAACAAATTGTTCAAAACAACCATGATATGAAATTAGCAATAGAGATAAAAGAAGAACAAGCTAAAATAAAATAAGGGAAGAAACATATCTCGAAAATAATGTCAAAAAAATTGAACTTGCACTTGGAATATAGGTAGACAAAACAATATATGAGAAAGTTTATCAATCTACTTTATTTGATAATGATACGGAAAACTTACCGTCTTATGAACAAAACTCTGGTTTTTGTCTTCTTATTCAAATGTTACGAGTCAAATGATGAAGAAGAGAGTTGTGGTGAAAATAGTTGATATAGCAAACTTTGAGAGAGAAAATGAATAAGGAGAAAAAAATGAAGAAAATAAAATAAAAGTAACCAAAGGAAATCGAAGAAGATAAAAGAAGTTAGGTGAGTAGAAGAGAAAAAAGAAAAAAGTGGAGAACGAGTGAGATACTGTGTGATAGATTGTGAGGAAACATGAAAGTGGTGAGAGAGAATTTGTGAGAGAACGATAAAGTGACGAACCAAGAGAAAAAAAACAAAACAAAACAAACCAAAATGAAGCAAATCTTAACAGAGAGCAACAAATGAGAGTAGTAGTTTTTGTAAATTTTGATTTTTACCTAAATTATGCTAAATCAAATTTAAAACTTTTCCATATGAGTAAAATTTTGTTTTATTTTTATTGAAAAGATTTTATTTTAAGAAAACATGGAAATTCAAATTTAATAAAATAATTTTTATGATTTTGTTACTTTTTTTTATTTTATTAAAAATGATTTGATTCTAAAAATAATAATGAAATCGATATTTAAACCAAATACATTTATTATTTTTTTATTTTTTGATAAAACAAAAAAAAATATTTTCCACAAAATATAAGAACTCTATTGGAAAATTACTATAAATTAAGTAAAGAAAGAATGATGAAATAGAATACCAGACAAATTTAGGGGTGTACACCCTGAAAATGACCATCACAATTCCTCTTGATTTTGAAAACCCAGTTACATCCAACAAGTTTCTGATGAAGAGGTTGGAGAACAATATCCCAGGTATGATTTCGAATGAAGGCAGCATATTCCTCATTCATAGCTTGCCGTCAATGATCATGTCGCAAAGCCTCTTGAACATTCGGTGGTTCAACTTCTTTATAATCAACTATAAAAACTTTAGGTTTAAAAATACCACTTTTCCCTCTAGTAATCATGTGATGAGAATTACGTATAAGAGGGGTAGAGATCAACGGCTCAGAAGAAGAAGATGCAGGTAATGAAGTACCAGCGGAAGAACCATCAGATTGAGATACATCCAAGGAACCATAAGATAAAACCGGTACGCCATGTACAACAGTAGGAAGTATGGATTGTGACCCATCAATTGTAGGAGCAGACACATTATCATGAGGTACAACAGCTGGTACATCATTGAGAGATACAATAGTATTAGGAATCGTGATAGGAGCAGCAACCACGGTATTAATAGGTGCAGAATTTAAACAACCAGCAGTAGCTACAGGCAAAGAAGCAGACGCAAGTAGTGCAGATGCAGGTATAAGAGATGAGGACCGAACAGAAATGGATAAGGGAGAGGAGGACAAAGTTTGGGATACTTGTGTAGAGACACAAAAACCTTTCCTTCGAAAGAAAGACATTTATATCCTTTGTAGGTGCTGCTATAACCAAGAAAAGTACAGGGTTGAGATTGAAAATTAAGTTTATGGGAGTTGTGAGGACGCAAGCAAGGAAAACATTGACACACAAACACATTTAACCATGAATAATCAGACTTGTAGTGAAATAACTTCTCCAAAGTACTCACTCCACTAAGGACTGTTGTCGGTAACCGGTTGATAAGATATACAGATGTGGAGAATGCATCATCCCAAAAGGATAAAGGCATGGAGGATTGAGATAATAAGGTCAAACTAGTGTCAACGATGTGACGATGCTTGCGCTCAGCAATGCCATTTTGTTGAGACATGTAGGGGCAGGTAATCCTATATTCAATGCCATGTTGTTGAAGAAAAGAAGTAAATGGTTTAAACTCCCCACCCCCATCAGATTGAAAATGAAGAATAGAGCAACCAAGAAGTTTTTGAATAATAGTTTTGAACCGAAGAAAAATAGAAAACGCATTCGACTTGGATTGAAGAAAATAAATCCAAGTATAACGAGAGAAAACATCAACAAAACTAATATAGTATTTGAAGCCATTGTTAGAGGCGGTAAAAGCAGGTCCCCACAAATTAGATATAATTAATTGCAGGGGAGCTGTGTAAACAGTAGTAGAAGGAACAAAAGGAAGAGCATGAGTTTTGCCCATAGCACAAGTATTACAAAAATTCATAGACATAGAAGAAGATGTACATGGTTTGTCCAAGTTTATTATGTGTCTAACAATGGGAAGGGTCGGATGCCCAAGTCGCCTATGCCACAAATCAACAGAAGACAAAGATGCTGAATGACAAGAAGAAACAGAATATGAAACTGGAAAAGTCTGAGTAGTCAAAGCTTGAGATGCAAAGGGAGCTTAAAATAGATTGGCAGACAAAAGAGAAGAGAGTTGAAACCGGTACAATCCATCATGTAGAGTCCCTCGATTGAAGAAGTATTTGGCCAGTATGTGGATCCATTACATAGCAAAAAAGAGGATGAGATTAAAAAAATATCGAGTTATCTTTGGCAAACTGACTGACACTTATGAGGTTTTTAGTTATTTGAGGAACATGAAGTAAATTATTAAGATGAAGAATACGATTAGTAGGAGATTGAAAAGAAGAATGGCCAAAATGAAAGATGTCGAAACATGCACCATTCCCAACTTGTACTTGGTTACTGTCAAGATATTCTGTACCAACAACCAAGTTGTTGAAATTATGAGTGAGGTGATTAGTTGCACCCAAATCAGGATACCAGTTGGTATCATGATTCAAATGTAGAGTAGTAAGCAGTGCAGACATTTGAGGAGAAATTGGCCGTTTGGTACTGAGGAGAATAAGAACTAGAACCAGAGGAAGGAGGTCTTTGAACTCTTGGATCAAAATGAAAGTTGCACTTTGAAGCAGTATGACCAAATTTGCCACACAATTGGCACTGAATTCGACCTCTATTGTTCCACTATTGGCCTCCTTTATTGTTCCAACCTCGAAATCGATTAGTTGCCCCATGGTTATTCTCAAACTGAGCGCTATTTCTAGGAGCATCATTCTCTTTGCCCATAGCAGCAGCATGTGTAAGATTGGCTGAAGGAATAGTGCAATCAAAATTAATCAAACTCTTCTTTCTTTCAATTCTATTTTCTTGTGTCAATAATAGAGCCATGACATCTTGTACTGTTTGAGGACCAGATTTCGTAGAAATAACAGAAATCATCGACTCAAACTCAGATCCTAAACCGATAATAGATAAACAATATGATCCTCCATAGAAACTGGTTTACCGACGGCTGCTAGAGCATCAATACACTTTTTAACTTGAGAAAAATAGTCTTTTAGTTTAGAATTTCCCTTTTGTAGAGTTTGTAATTTTCTTCATCACTTATGCTAAATTTCTAGACGTGAAAATTTGTACTAAGATAATTCCATATCTCCCTAGCCGATGTACAATGTAGTAATTGTTCAGGTAATGTCTCAGTCATATAACCAAGTAACCACGAGGATATCAATTTATCATGACGCTTCCACTTAGTAAAAACCGAATTTAATTTTAGAGCAATAGAAGATTTGTCACTAACCTGAAGGAATTTAAAAGGCGGATCATGTTCCAAATGTGATTCTAAACCGTGACCTTCTAGGGCAGTGAGATCTTGAAATTTCCACGAAAGAAAATTATCATCAGTTAACTTCACGGTAGAGATCTTGTTACCCGGATTTACCACTAGATTGCATTGAATTCCATCGTTGCCAGCAGATTCACCTTCAGTGTTCGTTCACTGGTCCATTGCAAAAGATCGCAAAAATTGAAGAAGAAATAGCAAAAACACAATACTGCAACTGAATTGAATTGATAAAGAGATCTTGCGGTATGTTTCTGAATCACGGATTCAGAGAAATTTTTTTTTAATCATATGATCGAACTCTGTCGCAAGACGCAAGCTCTGTTACCATGTGAAACTCCTATATCCAGGAGAAAAGTCATTTCTACTTCTCATTCAATGACTTAATAATACAGAGAAGCCTTGTATATATAAGGTTGAAAAACTCCTGCACTAACAAACAAAAAACAAATTAATAATAAACTAAATGACCCAGCACAACTAAACAATAAAAACCACATAAGATGGCCACATCAATGAACTTCAGTGAGCTGGCTTAACAGTCTCATGAAAGGCTTTCTCTCTTGACACATCTCTTGTTGATATAGAAATTTGGCTTCACAGGATTCCGCCAATATTCGCACGATCTTCTAGATTAAAGGGATAGACGAGACCTGTAAACCAGAATAACTTTAAGACCAGTGCGACTTTTGCAAAACGGACTCCGATGCTTAAGTTAGGATCGGAGTAGTTGAATATGAAGTGTAGCGTATTGTGAACATACTTCTAGGGTTTGGCTTACCGTTCTATTTATAGAAGTGGAACTCTAAGCCCTTTAGAAATTATCAAAGTTGAATCCTAGTGTGTCTAGTAGATCTAGACTTTTGAGTATGTGTGTTTTGTAATTGGCCCAATGTCGAATCCACGGTCGAGACAAGGTAAATTCGGGTCGTACTGCGTGAGGATCGGGAGAGAACCATCGGGGTTCTCAGTCGGGGGTCGAGAACTCCTCGGCGCCAAGAAGGTTTCAGCGCCAACTCGGATCGGCTATGGCCGGTTCGGGTTGTCGGGTTTCAACCTCCTTTACCTGGTGAGCCCGCTCCTCCTCCTGCTCAACTCCTGTTTTTTGTTCGTACAATGTGATTTATAACGTCTCTTCTTTGACTTTTTCATGTGTTTGAGTCAAAGTGATTGGGACTTGCAATATATATATTCAGTTTTATTATATTTTTTAATCAAAATGCATACCACACACAAACTGTTGGGGAAATTAAAGAGAAACAGTATCAATTAAACAGGTAACCAATTCTATTAAAAAAAAACAAAAACAAAAAAAACAGGTAACCAATTAACATAGTCGTTTTTGTTAGAGTTTGTGTTTTAGTCATAAGTCCTTAATTTATTATGTGACGTATTATTTCTC